AAAGAGTTTCATGAGCCCAACAATACGATGCATGCAAATTGTACTAAAATTACTCAAAAAAGAATTTGTAGCTGAAATAGGCACTCAAACACACACAAACAGCTCACATATGACTCTGTTTACCAGCTCACACATGACCCTGTTTACCAGCTCACACATGACTCTGTTTATCTGTTTATCTCCAGCAAGACACGTGCTGAATGACTGCACTATCATAACCCGTTCAGTAATAGTATAATTTAGATACGGCCCCTATCAGATACAGCCCCCTCTGCACCGTGCAAATGTCAATGGAGTGATAATGCAGGACACCAGACAACAAAAAAAAAATATTGTCAGGAATCAAAACTGGGAAATTTATGTTTCGATAACGGAAATTTATGTTTCGATAAGAGAGAGGATTAAAACAAGTAAACGTCTGCATTTCAATTTGTGGTGGAAACTGTGACTGTATGAAAAGAACTTTCCTTTGTCCACAAAAAAAATAGTGTAATCAGATCAAAGTCAAGGTAATAAATTCTTTTCCCAACTCTTTATCACACAGCTTGACATAGGGCTTTTGTAAAATTGAAAATCAGGTGACAAAATGTACATTGAATAAAAAAATGGGCTTTATGACTTTATGTACATTTAGGCCTATTTGCATAACAGATGGAGTGTCTAAAATACATACATTTAATAATAATAATAATAATAATAATACCGGAGTCTTATAGAGTGCACGTATCTACCAACAATTAGGTACTCAAGGCGCTGGTAATTATGTCTATATTTAAAAACAGGTAAATGAAGTTGATGAGAAATATGAGATCTATTATGTGTAGCACCTTTATAAGGTGCTCATAGTAATACCCTACGTTATACTTATACCCTAGGCTTACAGCCTACCCTTCTGGTTGAAACATTTTATCAAGTTAATTGTGATCTTCAAACATGATATTTGATCCTCAGAAAAAAAGTAGGAGGAAGTGTTCTGCAGACCCCCCCCCCCCTCAAGTGCAACGTCTACAGTACAGAATGCTGAAAATGTAGGAAAACAATGGAAAATAATCAATTTAGGAAATCCAATTAAGATACAAAAACTGTCATGCCCCAATATTCTTTAAGTTCAATTAAATAAGGAGACAAAGAAAAACCCTCAAACATTCAGCGAAAAGATTGTCATCAACACACTAAATGCCTTACTGAAAATGTCACCCTGACTGCATCTTTGGCAAAGTTTGCCATGTTTAACAAACAAAGCTGGTTTAATCTGGAGCAACCTATGGTACCCCACAAATTAACACCATTTTCCATCAATTTCCTTGAAAAAATTTCTAGACTAATTCACTCCATCAGCTGCTTGTACTCCGAAGTCCTCTTTGCCTGACAACAACCACATCCCTAATTTGATGCAATCTTGCCACACACGCTCACACAGGCTGCCTCCCTCTTGTTGATGATAGCATAGCTTGGGACCCCAGCAATGGTAATTGATTGGTCATTATCAGGTGTCTCCCTCATTTGCATAACAACAGATGGACAGGTGCAGATTCCATTGCATGCACAGTCTAGGGCTGGTGCATTAATGAGGCGGGGGTGGCCAGTGGAAGGAAGGGGGGAGGGCTCACTGTTAAATAATCAATAATGAATGGTATGGTTGTGGATTATTTATTGCCGAGCTGTTGGCCGCTGTTCAATTATTCAGGAATTGATGTCATACACAGACAATGGCTTTGGTTTTATTTAGGCATGTATAATAAGTTGAATAAAATTGGGACTTGGAAAAGCAAATGATAGCTTTCGTTCACCATTTATTTATGAATTTATTTATTCTTGTATGAGCTCTGTAGGGAGCCAATCTTATTAACACACTAATGCAAATACACTGGTAGCTGCACAGATATACATGTACATGAATGCTTAAAATATTTAAAAAAATTTGTTTAATTTAGAGACACAATTTAAGTACATATTCATACAGGCTCGTTTTTTAAAACAAAGTTACACATGCAACTGGTTAAAAAAAAAATATATATAAGTGAAACATAAATCGGCGCCTTGTCCAAGCCTACATATACTTCCTTTTTCTGCCTGTCTCCTTTTTATTTTACTCGTACACTTGCAATACATTTTTATTATTTTTGTTTGTTTCCAACAATATTGTAGTTATGTAGAAGGGGTGTCAGCAATTTTGTATGCAGCAAAAGAGTCGAGAAAATGGAAGAACCCATCGGCCGTCTTGGAAAAAACACCATCTTGGAGGGAAGGGGGGGGGGGCCTTCATTTTTTCAAAAAGCCCAGAAGAGAATATTTATTTTTTGTTATTCAGCCTAAATTGTGGTGATTCATGTCATGGGAAAAGGCAGTTGTAGAGGAAAAAAAATATCCTCCTTTTCTTTTAATCTTTCCTTGTGGTTTATTAGAAAAATCTTCTCAATGACTGGAAAAAAATATCACTGAATTTTGGTAAACTGCTTGCAATTTTCAACACCACCAACAATCTCCTGCATACATGTAGCTTAAGAATGATTTATCCCCAAATGATTGCGAATTGTACATGTAAAAAGAGACGCCATCTTTTAAAAGTCAGAATTGTAAACTTAAGTTTTTTAATTTATGGACCACTAAAAAATAAGTCAATTATGTGGCTGATTACCTTTTATATGCACATGTACACGTAAAGGTTTTTTTTAAAATGTGCCTGTACCAAAACATGTACAATGCATTACATCTAATTACAGTTATATGTATTCATACCAGTCCATCCAAAGATGTACTGTACTCAATGGCTCAAAACATGGACACCTCAATATCAACTGCACTAATTAAGTTAACAGCTTTAGGTGTTCATATGCTAATAGTAATACTAAGAGCCTCAATAAAATCCATCTACATTGTGCAGTAATGACAATGATGTGGCAATCATAAGAGAAGCCCTGTGCACTACACACACACATTTTTATGGCAAATTACCAACCTGGCCAAAAGATACCACACGAGGGCAGCATATAATAACACAGGGCAGGATTACAGAAATGCAGGGAGGCACTTTGTGATATCTTTTCTTGTGAAAATGAGCACAGAGGACGTAGGGATATCATATTTAACACAAAACCCGGTGAAGTGTAGTTTAGGACACAGGTCTCTTTTCTTTTACGAGTTCCGTTCAAAAATGACTTTTGCAAAAGATTGTGAATTCTAAAATGACTTTTGCAGCCTCAAGCAGTCTTTAGTTATCGAGAGTAACTCTTTTTTATAGTTTTGATCAGTACAGCAATTCACAGCAGTTTAGACTATTCTCTGCATGTGAAGTTTTACCCCATAATTTCCCTCATAAAACACAATCCTGTCCTCTTTCTACAAAATAACCCTGTTGATATTCAACATGGTATTCTTGCGAGCTACCGGTTTGTGAGTCCAAAAACATAAAGTGACATTTTCTGCTGGTATTTAGTTCCATCCTGAAACATAGAAGTGTGTTTTCGTTCTCTTATGGAACGGGGTCCTAAACTACACTGTACCCTAAACCTATCACTTTTTGAACAAAATTGATAAAACACCCAATTTTTGCCATGCTGAACAGAAAAAGTGCACACAAAAAACCGGATATGTAGCATCAGAAAACGGACGACTTAACTGACAAATTAGACCGTGCTGCTCAGATGATTTTTGAAATCTTCAGTCAGTTTTCCTCTTTCAACAATAAAATGTCTCCTTTTTTTATTTAACAGCTTACTGCATGGTTTTGAAGGTACAATGGACCGAGGACCATTTGCTTTTTGTGCATTTTTTGTTATCTGAAGCAACAAAATTGGGGTTGGGGTTGGGGTTGGGGTTGGACACCATCTTCCCATGGGGGGGGGGGGGCGCTGTTCAATCCTATATCATGGTTAATGTTGACAATAACTACCGCTATTTCCTTTCCATGGACGTTAAAATAAACAGCCAATCGCGAAAAGAAAGGGTTTTGGTGAAAAATATGCACAAAATCGCAGAAAAGGGAAATGTTCTTCCAGCTAATCATGGAAACCCATACGGCTGTGCTTTTCTCCGAATGCCAAATTTCCAGTGGGGGGCGAATGAGGGGGCACAAACTTTTTATGGAAGTGCTGTATTCAAGCTGGTGCTAGTGCCTGAGGTATGCTCGGAATCCAAAACCAATCTTGGGAACTTTGGCAGAGCTCCCCAGAAAATTCTGAGCATACCTTAGTAACTTCACAAGCGCTGTATTCAAGCTGGTGCTAGTGCCTGAGGTATGCTCGGAATCAAAACCAGTCTTGGGAACTTTGGCAGAGCTCCCCAGAAAATTCCGAGCATACCTTAGTAACTTCACAAGCGCTGTATTCAAGCTGGTGCTAGTGCCTGAGGTATGCTCGGAATCAAAACCAATCTTGGGAACTTTGGCAGAGCTCCCCAGACAATTCCAAGCATACCTTAGTAACTTCACAAGCGCTGTATTCAAGCTGGTGCTAGTGCCTGAGGTATGCTCGGAATCAAAACCAATCTTGGGAACTTTGGCAGAGCTCTCTGAACATTCCGAGCATGCCTCAGTAACCTCATGCATGCTGTATTCAAGCTAATGCACGCACCTGAGGTATGCTCGGAATTTCCTGGGTAGCGCTGCCAAAGTTCCCGAGACTACACGGCAACAGTTTCTAAAGCAGCGGCGGCTTTATCATGGTTATGAGGAGCGAGCTGCGTCAGTGGGAACAAATGCCAATCAAGTCTTGGACTAAGGCTACTCAGCACCATCTTCTTGCCAATGATGTCTCTTGTTACGGTGACAGCAACCTTCCACAATTTTTGAAAATATCGGCAGATACAGAAAGTGAAGTGGCTATAGCCATCCTGTCTGAATCATTTGGCTATGGCTTGCGGTAACACAAATGCTTATGAGAAGTAGCCTCAGTCGCTTCCATAAACCACAAGTGTGATTGCAAACTGTAGCTCACATGAGTGGTGACAAAGCGCCAGCCACACCATTCATACCACAGAGTCTATCTAGGTTTTGAACCTACCTTCGGACGCCGGCCGACTGTTGCTGCTTCCCGACTTGGGGGACAGAGACGATTGCACAGAGTCTGGGTTGCCGTGGTGATGCAAGGATGCATGCTCCCGCTCACCGTCGCTGTCGCTGTCGATGACGATGACCGACTCGTTGCGCACGTCCCCCGGTTTCCTCTCACCGTTGCTGCCTATGGGCTGAAAATGGGCAAAAGAAATAGAGACACACATTACATATCATTAAAATGTACATATGTATGACCACCTTCCATAAATTTTGGAGTCTAAAGATATCCTTATATAAAAATACGGAATATTTCTACCATTCAATTACAGTTAAATGTAAAGTCAGGAACTGACTGGTACCATGCAGCAATTATTCTTCCTGCAACCAAGTATAGTCAATGACCATGATGCGCATGCGTCAGTTGGAAACGGAATGGTTCTCTGATTTAACTTGCATTTCTATTAAAAAAAAATAAATAGAATCCAGAGCCATGATTCTGGGGGAGGGGGAACGTAAAATTTATTTCATCGATCAGTATATAGGACTTGCTTAAACACAAATGTAGGAAAGAAAATTCACTTCTGTGGGGAAAAAAAAGGAAAAATATATAAATTTCTGGGACTAGAACCCGCAACCTGCAGTGGACTAAAGAAATATATGAAATGTAATAGCACTATTTGATGGTACATACATGTATACTTAGAATTTAAAAAAAAATAAGACTCATTTATTTGAAAATAGACAGGAAATTTAGGAAAACCTTCTAGCATTTGGCGATACACCAAGGATTACAAGTTCCGCGTCATTCAAAGTTTTGATGCCTTGCCAAGTGGCCGACTGCAGATCATATGGTTGGCATAAACAGCCCCCTCTGTTGTTCAACTAATGCCAGGTCTTATAAGTACTCCAAATATAGCAATTACATTTCTACACGTAAATGTACATCATGTGAAGATAATGCAAGCACAATGGCCAATTATAGGGGAGTTGCATGGTTACAGGGTCGCTTATTGCCCTGGGGGGGGGAGGTATGTCCCTCTATCATTTTTTTTCACAATATCTAATGCAAATTCTACTTGACGCTGTTCAATTTTTTGGACTTATTACTAGTGAGTGGTAATGAAACATAAAAATAAACCACAGAGAAACTGACAACTGAGGTGCATAAAATTATAAGGTTAAGAAAAGAATTTGAATGGTAGAGGATTTGAACAGGTCTGTACATGTTAGCAGTTTCCAAATGAAGTGCACAAACAATGACAGAATTACCAGTTTCTCTGAATTATATGAAACCTACAATAGATTTAAATGTGAATCTAGCAAGAATGGCATCATTCAAGCGTTGTTCCACTGTTCTATCTCTATACTATGTACATCCCCAAAATTGCAATAGCACGTACAATAATTGGCCAAATACATGAGTACATAACATGTCCATGTATGTGAGTGTCTTCTCAATGGAGTCATTTCGGGGGAAAACGTACATTGGGCTTGAAAACGCATAAATTATTTTTGTTTTAAATGATAACATCTCGATGATAATAGTTAGAAAGACGGTTAAAAAGTATAATACAAACTTTCACACAACTCTACCTGAGAAATTTGTTGTTTAATGAATGCGCGAGGGAATTTAGGGGGGGGGGACAAAATTTTGGTCCTCAAAACTCAAGTTGCTGGAGCGTTATAGTTTTCGTTCCAGTTACAAGGTCTTTTCAAAATGTTCTTCAAACGCATGCTCGCTATGTGTGTAATTCAGAAGCTAACACAGGAACTAATACATGTATCGCACAGTGGATTGAATACATTTTTTGTGGCGCCAATCCTTAGTTAATGCTTGAAATACATCTAGGTCTAAAACCATAAATGCAAGAAATTATGTTATGAAATTATTATGATTTTTGGAGGGCGAAATCTAGCCAAATGTACACAAATAGTATACAACTTCCCTTTTGTATCAGAACAGACAACATTGTCATTGAATATGTTGCATTTTTTTCATGGTCACAGGAATAACAGAATTAATGGTAGATTGGCTTGGGAATATACCGGTACACTCGCATCACAAACAAGTCCATGAACATGTTGGGCCTTAACATGCATGTGCCTATACATGTACATGCAGTATTCAGTTCTCACAATGCGATTCACATGTGCATTATGTATGACCAGCAGGGCTTGTAATTTGTTGTGCTTCAGTGAAAAACTGAACAGAAGTACATGTACCAACTCCTTTTTGAAATGGAAAATTTGAACTAAATCGTTATGTTTTACATCAAACTTTATAGTGCATGTGTAGGAAATGAATATAATCAAAATTAATTATCCATGCAAATACATGTGTATGGTACCGGTAGTGTATAAATGTTAGTGTTTTTATTCAAATTTGGAAGCAAATAAAAAATTGCTTGTTTTTGTTAGCTACACGTTCATATTTTCAATGTTATTAAATGTGATATTATCACTGTTCTAGTGCACTTTTTTTTAGACGAAACCTACATGTATCAGCTTTAAAATAGCGTTTGCAATAACACGATTGCTTGCTTGTTATCAAGAAAATTCAATTTTTGTTTCATTTGACTTTCTTCATCGGTACTCTGTAGCTTTTACTTGAGATCGGAACACTAACAAGACAATTTGCGCATTCTGGTTCTTGCGCGTACTGGTTCTTGCACATACTACTTCTTGCGCGTACTGGTTCTTGCACATACTGTTTGCTTGCACAAACTGGTTCTTGCACATACTGGTTCTTGCACATACTGTTTGCTTGCACATACTGTTTCTTGCACGTACTGGTTCTTGCGCGTACTGGTTCTTGCATGTATTGGTTCTTGCGCATACTGGTTCTTGCACATACTGTTTCTTGCACATACTGTTTCTTGCACGTACTGGTTCTTGCGCATACTGGTTATTGCGCGTACTGGTTCTTGCGCGTACTGGTTCTTGCGCGTACTGGTTCTTGCGCGTACTGGTTCTTGCACATACTGTTTCTTGTGCGTACTGGTTCTTGCGCGTACTGGTTCTTGTGCATACTGGTTCTTGCCCATACTGGTTCTTGCACGTACTGGTTCTAGTGCGTACTGCGTGAAGTACTCATGATTAATTCTATTCTGACTGCACAAGCTGATAACATCTTTGCGTGTCAGGTGCCTTCAGCAATACGATTTTCCCGAGTGTTCTCTCCCAAACGTACTCTCTCTTTACAACCGTTGAGGGGGTACTTGTGCACGGAGTCCATACGTAGATCATTCACGGTCCAACGGAGGTTGATAAAGATTGGGAATTTGGAGTGGTGGGGGCAAGTACCTATCAGTACTTTCCAATGAGCTTAATCCCTCGGAAAGTTTAAAATTAAAAAAATAATGTGCGTTTCGGTTTTTGCAAATTGGAGGATGCTGGAAAGTTCCTTGAAATTAATTCTTGGTGTTAGGATTCAAGTTGCCAACTACCCAAGTCTGAGTCAGAGCTGAGGCCTTGAGCTGAAAGCCATTGTCAAGCCCCACTCATTTCATTAATTCTGCTCCTACAAAGTTTACAAATGTCTACGATTATTCAGTCTTGATTAAATTATCCTGTCCGTGTAGCACTCATTATGTAACTAGATTACAACACGGATACCCTCTATCGAGTTCAGCCAGCACTCTGGCTCCTATTCCAGGCCAATCCTTGGGCACCTATCTTGAAACATCTCTCTCAGATCTCTCTCAGATCGCCGAGTCGGGTATGTCGTTAACAAAAAAAATTTGCCTTGAGTACTAATAGAATTAAAGTATTCAGCTTATTGTGTGTACGCGTGGGCATCCATGTTTAGAATTGTGGCAAATTACTCAATTTTCCCATCTAAGCTCAACACAAAGACATGTCTAGCTGAAGAGCTTTCCACCTCATGCGTCATGTTGGCAAGACAAGTCTGTCTCTTCTTTGTCTCCTTTCTTTTGATTCTTCAAGGACACATGTTCAAGATTTGCTACTCATGAGAACATGTGTAGTTACTACATCACATGGGACCCTTGTAAAAGCTGGTGGGTCTGGTGCATAAGAATTTTTTTAGTTATTTGTAATAAAAAAAATGTGATTTGCCTGTGCAAAACAAATCTTTCTATAAATACCTACAGATTTATTGTATCACTAATTATTGATTAAATGTAACATGGTTCTCACTAAATCTTGACTGGTGTGTTTAATTAACAAGTTGCTTTGCTTTTTTGCAGGAACTAAAACAGTATCTTAATCTGTAATCTGTAACCTGTATTCTCGTCCCTAATTTTTTACTTAGACATAACTTGATACATCCATTTTAGACTCTGAGCACTGTTGTTTTTTAGCACAATTTTTACGCTATTCTTGGTTGATCGTGTTTGTTTTGCTCTGCTGGATAAATTCCTCCACCATACTCCTTTCCCCAGCCCTCTCCTCCACAGTTGGTGTGTTGCTTCTCTTCCCATTTCCTGTCTTACCCTTCCCCTTCCCATTGGCCCTGTTTAACCCTCCCCTTCCTGGTTTTGTTTGTTTGTTGGGGTGTTTGTTTGTTCCCCCCCCCCCCCCTTCTCCTTCCCTGTCTCTCTCCCTCCCTCTGTTGTACTGCCCGGTTCTCCTATCCACTTCCTTTACTTAGCCTCATCTGCCCTGCCCATTTTTTGAATCCCATATTATACTCCCTTGGACATTTCCTCCCTTGTGCAATTTTGGTATTTTAATTGTTTTGTGCTTGTGTGTCTGTCATTGTGCAGGGCTGCATAGACACGCCCTTTTGGCGACAGTGTTTTGTTTCACTCTTGTTCTTCTCCTTGGCAGCCCTGCACTGTCCACGTTCTGTCTTTCGTGTGTAGTGTTTACTTGGTTTCTTATTGTTTGTATATCCTTTTGTTTTAATATCAAATTTTATGTATTTATTGTAACTGTGTGTATATATGTCAATTTGCCGAATAAAATATTTTTAAAATTATTATTAAGTGAAAATGTAACTGTACTGCAGATTTGACCAGAAAAGTTCTCCACTGTCAATTTTTTCTTAAAAATGTAAATAAGGGAATTAATATAGATGTGCTTGACTGCGTGGTTTTCAATAAGCACCGGCATGTTTAAAACTGGCCAGGGGCCTCGACAAAGATATAAATGGCCCAATTTGCATCCAGGCACCTAGCCGGTTTTAAACGTACTAGTTTAATACCAGCCAAGCACATATAAATTTATT